TAAATGAACCAATTGATGTGTCCATCATCATCCCTTGTTCCACGAACAATGTTGACATCTGGGCATATACAGCAGAAAAGATAATTCCAGTAGCCCAAATAGGAAGCATGCGGATCAAGATTTTAAATTCCTCCACTTGTGTCACAGTGCAAACCCTCCATGGGTTTGAGAATTCCCCACTTGTAAGTTCTGCATCTGAGAGTATGGCAGCTTTATCAAGACACCTGCAGTAAAATAGATTTAAATAAAACTAGCTATGAGAGATAAATTCAACACAACGAAAATTTTGGACACCATGCTGAAACTTAGATGCAAGCATACCATTTACTGTCCATTGATTTGGTTATTTCAAGGGAATATTAGATCAAACAATATTGGAAGTGTATGTTTCAGAATGTGCTCAGAACAAAGAGAAATTAAGGAGGATGACAAATGCAGCATACCCTTTAAAAAGGGTGGGAATATAAGAGATTCAGAGAGAAACAAATCATGCATCAAATAGCATCCAAAGTATGATAATATGCACAAGTACAAGCTCTGAGGAAGTAGCTGGTAATAGGAGAACCAATTGAAAGAAGTATGACACTTTTCAAAACAAACTAATATTTCAAGAACAGATCACATGAAGCTATCTCTAAACTATAATTTTATTTTTTTTCTGGAACTTATAAGTTCCATTAGTAAGGATGACAACTATGCCAGATCATTAGCAAGCAGAGGCATTAGGATGAGGATATATGTGTTTATGTGTGTATATGTGTGAATGCACATAAAAAAATTAAACATACATATAACTCTTTCAACTGATAACTTGGAATATGGTAAAAGAATTTTTGCAGCAGCTCTCACTGTAAGGAATTTCCTTGCATTTTCTTAACAGGGAACCATCTTTAAAATTATTTAAATACAAGCATGATAGTGAGTAAAAAATAACATTTTAACACAATTTGTGCAATACTGGTACATTGTGCATTAGATACTTCAAAAGCTTAAAGTTTAAATGGAGATTCAACTTATGCCAAGTGTATAGCATAGCAACCAGAAAGAAAGGAGGATGTTCCAAGAGAGCCCCTCAAATAATGAATCAGCTATTATCAATTATACTTCAAAAGTTTTAATTAGACAACATACTCTTAATCTCAAATTCTTATTCCCTATTATTATTTGACTAACTGTATTGTACGATTATTTGTCTAACTCAGAAACATAATATACTGAAAATAATTAATGCATTGATAACTTATTGAGTAAATAATTCAGAAAGAAAAATATAAAAAAGAAGAGAGTTACTTAAACTCCTCAGTGTGTTCCAGTTTCCGACTTCCTTCAATGGCAGAATGTTTGTCGTGTGTTTCATATAAGAGAGTACTGTTGGTGGGTACCTCCAGATTCCGCTTATGGAATGATGCAACTAATACCTGGCACATTCTTGTAATAGGGCTTCCACCAGGTCTCTGAAATCTATAAAGCTTTGTGCCTGAGAAAAAACTTGCAATGGCAATTCCCATAAATAATGCTGGAATGCCAAAGCCTAGGCCCCAACCAACATTATCTTGAATCCATACCAGAACACTGCTTGATATCAGAGAACCAATGTTGATAGAAAAATAAAACCAGTTGAAGAAAGAACCCTTCTTCACCCTTTCTTTGGGATCTGTATCATCAAACTGATCTGCCCCAAATGATGAGACACATGGTTTGATCCCACCAGTCCCTAGTGCAATCAGATAAAGCCCAAGGAAAAATACTGCATACTGAGCTGCAGTAGCTGAAGGGCAAACAGAATCTACACATTCAGCAGGCTTCAGTGCAG